GTGTGTATACACACACACACACACACATATACACACACCACATTTTCTTTATCCATTCATCCACTGATGGACATTTGGGCTCTTTCCATACTTTGGCTATTGCCGGAAAAGTCATTTTTTAAAAATTTACCTTTGATACAGTAACTCAAAGTTGCAGGATGCTTTGCCCAATTTTACATGTTATTCTCTCATTGATTTTTATCTACTTGTGGGAGTAGACTTCCTATTCTGGTAAGTAAGCCAAGATTCAGATGGATTATAATAGTCCTAAAGTCTCATGATGCAAAGTAGTTGAACCAAGGCATGTCTACTGGGTTGCGGACCCATCACGCAGTGGCTGGACTGTCAATTGCCACGGCAATTCCTAGGCAGCAAGCTGCTGTTGGGCCAGAGTGCCACATGTCCATAAATGTGGTCCATGAGGACAGAATGAGCCCAGATGGATTTAGAAGATTCATTGCTCCCTGAATAACAGGAAATGAAATTTATGTTCACATTAGTTCTTCTTGTCCTTTGAGTCTCCCTGGGGGTGCGGAGGGAGGGTTTGGGGGTGGGCTCAGATAGATCTGAGACATAGTTGAGGAGCCTGGAGAGTCAGACATCCCGACCTTACCTAACACCCGTTGACAGCCCTGCCCTCTGCCCTCCAGGGACTGACACTAGCTTTATTACCCTGGCAAGTCTCCAGGGAGCGAGAGACATGTCTAAATTTCTCCAGAGGGGAAAGAAACATCCGTTTTTATTGTGAAAACATTTTTAATTATTACTTTTTAAAGTTTGTTTATTTTGAGAGAGAGAGAGAGAGAGCGCAAGCAGAGGGGGAGCAGAGAGGGGAGTGGGTGGAGAGAGAGAATCCCAAGCAGATTCCGCAATGTCAGTGCAGAGCCTGATATGGGGCTTGAACTCACTAACTGTGAGATCATGACCTGAGCCGAAATCAAGAGTCAGATCCCTTCTTTTTTCTTTTCGTGCAAAAAGGTGATTTTATTAAAGCATGGGGACAGGACCCATGGGCAGGAAGAGCTGCACTATAAGTGTGGGGGGCACTGTTGATGGAGTCCAGGGAGATAAAGTCTAGAGGGAGTTTCCAAAGAGACTTTCACATGCTACAGACTTACTGGAGGCCTAGCTGTTGTCAAGCTAAGGTTGTTTTTCTCTCTAGCAAGGCATTAACATTGAGACAGTAGGGAGTTCCTGGACTTTAGGCTATGATGGGATTGCCTTTTTCTGGTAAACTGGTGGAGACTTGTTATCAGTTTCACCATTTGTTTTTTGTCCTTTCTTGTTTTTGGGTAGCTGGGAGTGTCCAAGGAATATCACATATGTCCCACCTGGGGGAGGGCAGTGCTATCTTGTGTTTTCCCTCCACCTGCTTTACACTCTCTCGACCTTTAAATCTTTAAGGTTGTTGAAGGTAGAAGCTCTCATCTTCCATAGCTTCTTCCTGCTGAGTAGGGGCATAGAAAGAGTCAGATCCTTAACCGACTGAGCTACCCACATGCCCTGAAACACCTGATTTTAGAAACAAATCTTCCTTTGCCCCAGAGAGAGGAAGGGCCGTCGCTACATTCCAAGAATGTTATCTAGTCCTACATCCTTGGACAAAACCATCAGTGCCCTTTGCTTGGAAAACATGCAGAAGAACCTCCCCTACTGTGGTGTAGATTTCTCCGATGCAGGCTATGGTCCTTGGCCACATTTGTCATTTTATTTAACCTCTTGTAATGTGTTGCCTTGAACATGGAAGGTACATCGTAAGGATCGTAAGGGTTGGAAGAATGATGATTCAGGGGTGCGTTTCTGAAATTAACCTGCAGTCAGCATGGCAGAACAGAAATAGCTTAGACCTTATGGTTTCAAATCAGACAGATGTGTGACAGGCACCTGACCCTAATAGTTATTCACTAGCGCAAATTAATCAAGAGACACATTCTGCCTCTCTGATTTTTTTGGGTAAAGTGCGAGTAGAACAAATCTCGATGGGTTGTTGACTTGAAAGACATGGTAACCATAGTAACATTCTCAGCCCTGGTTCCTGGCAGACACTCAGTAAATGATAGTGGTTATGGGATTCTTCACTGGGGAGATTTCGAATGTGACTCTGAAGCATTCACACAATATATTGCCTTGTAGCTCTGAGATAGGCTTCTGGTTTGGGCTAGGTGCTTACATGGACGTGATTTGAGATAGCTTATGGTCCTAATAAAAACTAAGTTAATTAGCCTGGCCATCCATGGACATACCGTAGTCTTCATACAGGTGCTCAAGTAAATCTCTAGGGATCGTTCTGGGTGTCAAAGAATGAGTGCACTTTTTTTAAAAAAATTTTTTTAACTATCTGGTATTCTACCCCTGTCTACTCAGATAAACCAAACCCATACAGAAATCACATGAGAGAAAAATTCCGTCTCATATGGGAGAAAGAAACCTGCCTTCCAGTTCCCAGTGATTTCTATAAAGAAACCACAAAGAATGAGTATGAAACCCTGAAGGCTGCATATCCTGCCAGCCAGGCTGGAGAGCCCACACCCACGGTGGTCTTGCAAGGTCCAGAAGGGATTGGCAAAACAACCCTTTTGAGGAAAGTCGTACTGGAATGGGCAGAGGGCAACCTTTGGAAGGACAGATTTACATTTATCTTCTTCCTCAATGGCTGTGAAATGAACGCCATTGCAGAGACCAGCTTAGTGGAGCTCATCTCCAGGGACTGGCCTCAGTCTTCAGAGCCGGTCGAGGACATTTTTTCGCAGCCAGAGAGAATCCTGTTCATCATGGACGGCTTTGAGGAACTCAAGTTTGATTTGGAGATTACGACTCAGCTGTGCGATGACCAGAAGCAGCGGAAGCCAATGCAGATTATCGTGAGGAGTTTGCTGCAGAGAAAAATGCTTCCAAAGTCTTCTCTGCTTGTCGCATTGGGAACAGTGGGCATGAGAAGATATTATTTCCTGTTGCAGCATCCAAAATACATAGTCCTCCCAGGATTCTCTCATCATGAAAGGAAGCTGTATTTCTACCATTTCTTCCGCGAGAGGAGCAAAGCCATGAAAGCCTTCAGTTTCGTGAGGGACAACGTCCCGCTCTGTATGTTCTGCCATAATCCTCTTGTATGCTGGCTGGTCTGTACTTGTATGAAATGGCAGCTGGACAAAGGAAAAGAGCTTGAGGTTGCGTCCGAAAGCACCACTTCTTTGTATGCATCCTTTTTAATGAACGTGTTCAAGTCAAGAAATGAAAACTGTCCCCCCAAGCAGAGCAGAGCCCGACTGAAAGGCCTGTGTACCTTGGCTGCAGAGGGAATATGGACGCGCACATTTGTGTTTCGCCATGGGGACCTCAGGAGGAGTGGGGTATCTGAGTCCGATACCTTGATGTGGGTGGGCATGAGACTCCTTCTCAGGAATGGCGACTGTTTTATCTTCATGCATTTGTGCATCCAAGAGTTTTGTGCCGCCATGTTCTATCTGCTCAGACAACCCGAGGACAATCCTGACCCGGCCATTGGGAGTGTGACCGAGCTTGTAACAGCAGGTGTGAGTCGGGTCCAGAGCCACTTGTCCCAGATGATAACATTCTTGTTTGGAGTTTCAACTGGAAAAATAACCAACATGCTGGAGACGTCCTTTGGTTTTCTTCTGTCCAAAGAGATAAGGCAGGAAATAACCCAGTGCCTCAAAAGTTTAAGTCAATGTGACACCAATCAGGTTGTGGTGAATTTCCAGGAATTGTTCAGCGGTTTGTTTGAGACCCATGAGAAAGAATTTGTAAGGCAAGTGATGGATTTCTTCGAGGAAGTTGATATTTACATTGGTAACATTGAAGAATTGGTAATATCAGCATTCTGTATGAAACATTGCCAAAATTTGCAGAAACTTCACCTGTCTATAGAAAATGTCTTTTCAGATGACTCTGGATCCATCACAAAGTGAGTCCCTCTATTAATCACCCCTGTCCCCACCCTACACACACCATACTTGTATCTTGTTTTAGTTCCCAATGGGTCTTCCATGGATGTTTACATTTAAAAAACATGGCTTTTGCAATCAGAGATTTTTCACGGTCACAGTTTTGGTTTTTAGTTTTTAAATTGAGGTAAAATTGACATATAACGTTATATTAGTGTCAAGTGAACAACTTCATGATTCAGTGTTTTTTTATTTTTATTTTTTTTAAAGTTTATTTATTTACTGAGAGAGAGAGAGTTGGGGGCGGGAGGGCAGAGAGAGAGAGAGAGAGAGAGGGGGAGAGAGAATCCCAAGCAGGCTCACACTGTCAGCACAGAGACCAACACGGGGCTCAAACACATGAACTGCAACATCGTGACCAGAGCCTGAATCAAGAGTCAGATGCTTAACCAACTGAGCCACCCAGGCACCCCATAATTCAGTATTTTTTAAAAAACATTT